AGGTTTGTCAGTCTAGCAATGAATTTGTACTTCTTAATCCCTTCACCTTTTTCACCCATTTCCCCAAACCCCCTCCCATCTGGCAACCAACAGAATGTTCTCTGTATCTATGAGAATGTTTCTGTTCTGCCTGTTCATTTTGTTTGTACATTCCATTGTCGATAGATAATGTATTCATTGCCATTTTGTTTGTTCATATATTTTATCTTTTTCTTCAAAAAGACCCTTCATCACTTCATACAATAGCGGTTTGGTGGTGATGAACTCCTTTAACTTTTTCTTATCTGGGAAACTCTTTATATGGCCATTGATTCTAAGTGACAGTTTTGCAGGATAAAGTAATCTTGGTTGTAGGTTCTTGCTTTTCTCACTCTGAATATTTCTTGCCACTCCCTTCTGGCTTACAAAGTTTCTTTTGAGAAATCAGCTGACAGCCTTATGGGAACTCCCTTGTAGGCAACTAACTGCTTTTCTCTTGCTGCTTTTAAGATTCTTTCTTTGTCTTGAACCTTTTGCATTTTGATGATGATGTGTCTTGGTGTGGGCCTCTTGGGGTTCATCTTGTTTGGGACACTCTGTGCTTCCTGGACTTGTATGTCTGTTTCCTTCACAAGTTAGGAAAGCTTTCTGCCATCATTGTTTCAAACAGGTTTTCAATTTCTTGTTCTCTCTCTCCTTCTGGCACCCCCAAGATGCAAAGGTTGGCACGCTTGACGTTGTCCCAGAGGCTCCTTACACTATCCTCATTTTTTTGTTTTTTTTGTTTTTTGTTTTTATCCTCACCTGAGGACATTTTTCCATTTTTTGCACAGATAGAGTGGGAGGGAGAGAGCGGAAGAGAGAGAGAGAGGGAAACATCGATGGGAAAGGGACACATCGAGTGGCTGCCACCCGCACGACCAACCAGGGCCGGGGACAAACTGCAACCGAGGTACATGCCCTTAGCGAGAACCGAACCCGGGTCTCTCCGGACCACAGGCCGACGCTCTAACCGCTGAGCCAAACCGGCCAGGGCCTATCCTCATTTTTTTGGATTCTTTTTTCTTTTTGCTGTTCTGATTGGGCGTTTTATTGCTTCCTTGTATTCCAAATCAATGGTTTGCTTCTTGGCCTTACGTACTCTACTATTGAATCTGTGTAAATTATTCTTTATTTCAGTTAATGCCTCCTTCATTTCTGACTGTGCATCCATCATTTCTGACTAGTCCTTTTTTATGCTCTTGAGGCCCTCACTAAGTTCACTGAGCATCCTTATAAGCAGTATTTTGAACTCAGCATCTGTTAGGTAGCTTATCTCCATTTCGCTTAGTTCTTTTCTTGAGGTTTTGTTCTGTTCTTTCATTTGGGACCTGTTTCTTTGTCTCCTCATTTTAGCTGCCTCCCTGTGTTTGTTTCTATGTATTACTTAACGAGAGGCTTGGGGCTAGCTCAGACCAGATGCTGCTTGCTTGAAAGAATTTAGGAAAACCTGAAGCAGGATCCAATACAGGCCAATCCTATGGTTAAGCAACTGGCAACAGCTTGGGTGGGCCTGAAAGTTGGGTGGGGCGTGGCCTCAGGGAATCACCAGGGCGGGGCTACCAGTGTGAGCCAGGTTGCTGGAGTCCCAGATATAGCGACTGTCTGCCGCCCCAGGGAAGGGCTCACCAAAGGAACAAAGGCCTCTGACAGCACATTTGTCCCAGAGAAAGCCCCCTCTCCAGCCCTCGCTTCAGTGCCAAACAGCTCAGTCCTTCCCTGTATGTCTCTGGTGCCCCTTGAGCTGCCTCCCCTCCAGGCTTAGAGGGAGTGAGTCCGATAAGTTTGTGCACGGGCCCTTTAAGGAGCTGCCTGGGGCTCTAGCCGTGTCAGCCTCCCTGAGCCTCAGTTCCCGCTGGTTTTCCAGCCAGAAGTGATGGGGATTCTCTTCCTGGCATTGGAATCCTGAGCGGGGCGTCTGGTGTGGGACGGGGACCCCTCAGTCCAGGGAGGACCTTCCCAGCCGAGGTGTCCTCCTGATTTTTATCTGCCACACGTGGGTGTGGGACCAGCCTGTCCTCCTCCACACCTCCTACCAGTCTCGATGTGGCTGCTGCATTAATTCCATAGTTGTAGGACTTCCATTCAGTTTGATTTCAGGCAGTTTTGAATGATGGTTGTTCTGTAGTTTAGTTGTAACTTTGATGTGGTTGTGGGACGACACGAAACCGCGTTTACCTACACCTCTATCTTTACTGGTAGTCCCAACACTTTCTTGTGGGAAGATTTTTTGAGAGCCATCTTTAGGCTGATGATACACCTACAGAACGTGGAAGCAAGAGGGTGAGGAAAACTAATGACTAATGAGAATGGTACTTTTCTTTCCAAATAGGGTTCTACCAGTGCCTACACCAAGAGTGGTTACTGTGTCAACAGGTTTTCTTCGCTTCTGCCTGGGGGTAATAGGCGAAACTCAACAACAGCAAAAGGTACCTTACATAAAATGGTCTAATTTTTAAGATTATAATTATTAAATTTTATAAACAGTGAAAGATAGTATAAGTTTCTTGGTCAGTTGTTGTTTTTTTCTCTAAATTTTTTTTTTTAGAGAGAGGGGAAGGGAGAGAGAGAGAAACATTGATGAGAGAGAACATTGATTGGTCACCTGCTGCATGCTCCCCGCTGGGGTCTAGCCCACAACCTGGGCATGTGTCCTGACCAGGAATCCAACCAGTGACCTCTTGGTGCATGGGTCAGTGCTCAACCACTGAGCTACACCAGCCGGACTTGGTCAGTTGTTTTAAAGATCCACTTTGAAAGCACACCTTTGAAACCACATAGACACCATCCTGCCCAGTAAATTCAGGCCATCTCCTTCAACATCAGCCTTCTGCAGCTTCAGAGTAGATACAAAAAAAATCTGCTGGGCAAAAAAAAATCCCTGAATTAAAACAACATGTCCTTCCCATGAACTGCCATTATAAGGTGACAGCTGCAGTTCGTTGAGGAAAGTTGCTTTAGAATGCCAAGTGTAATGTATGGTAAGATGTTACTAGGACTTCCCTGCCACATTCCCTTTTCTCCTTTATCATTGTCCTAATCTTATCTTCTCTCCTACCTGTGCCTAGCTGAGGAGAGTAAGATTATGGAGGTTAAATAAGTTGCCTATGGTCATTCAGTGAATAAGTGGCAGAGCTGGGCTGAATTTTACTCTCTTCCTTGCTTGCTCAGGCTCCCTTGGTGGTTCTTCATGTTCTTGGTACTGAGCCCAGACTTCTCTGTTCACTTTTATTTGATTTATTTATTTATTTATTTATTTATTTATTTATTTATTTATTTATTTTATTTATTTTTTTATCCTCACCCGAGGACATTTTTCTATTTTTTTTGTTCAGATAGAGTGGGAGGGAGAGAGAGAGAAAAACATCAACGTGAAAGGGATACATAGAGTGGCTGCCACCCTCACGACCAACCAGGGCCAGGGACAAACTGCAACCAAGGTACATGCCCCTAGCGGGAACTGAACTCCGGGTCTCTCTGGTCCGCAGACCAACGCTCTAACCACTGAGCCAAATCGGCCAGGGCTCTGTTCGCTTTTAGAGCCCCTGACACGTGGGCTTTGGACCACCCATTCTTGTATCTTTCCCCTACTCTCTATATCCACCCTTAGCTCTGTTCAACTGGCTTGCCTTCTTGCTGCTCTCATGTAACCAATTTATTCTCACAGGGCCTTTGCTTATGCCCCTTCAGTATTCTGACCTGGAATGCCCTCCCACCGCCCCTTTGCCTTTTTGATTTAATTCTCTTATTCCATAAAACTCTGTTCATATCACTGTCTTGAAGCATTTCCTGCTGCTCCAATCCCTTTTTTTCCTGAAATTCCTATTGTTCTTAGTTCACGCTATACAATTCAGCACTTGGTTCTTTCCTCTGTGATCATCTTATTTCTTTAATTGGATTGTAACTTCCTTAAAATCAGGAACTACTTATAGTTAATGTTCCCCACAGAACACAGTTCCCCTGATAGGAACTCAAAAAGTACTAGTAAACAAAAATGGAAGATTACATTCTTTCTAACTTGAGCTTCTCTAAAGTAAGTAAATATCCCAATTTATCTAAAATTTTAGAATTTCCACTTGGCTTAACGATTGCTTTGATCCTGCCTGTGCTGTCCTACCTCAGGTCACCCTTCAGCTGCATCATGAAGAATACTCTCCCCACTGAATTCTTATACCTTAGTGCTGATGCTTGCTGCACATACCAAGGATTGTTGGACTTAGTTCCCAAGCCCTAAGATGGGGCTCCTTGGATTGTGGTGGAGGGAACCCTGATTGGAGGGGCACTCTGTACTGACTTTCTATATTTTGTCCCAGACTATACCATTCTGGACTGCATTTACAGTGAAGTGAAGCAGACCTACTACATTCTGGATGTCATGTGCTGGCGGGGACACCCTTTTTATGACTGCCAGGTAAGAAACGATAATCTCTTCATTTCTTCTGTTTGCTCTGTTCCTTGCATCTTTGTGTTTAAATTAGTTGTTTTGTTTTTAAATCCTCACCCCAGGATGTTTTTTCATTTATCTTCAGATGGGGGTTGGGGATGGGAGAAATATTGATGCGAGAGAGACACATCAGTTGGTTGCCTCCTGCATGCCTTTGACCAGAATCAAACCCAAAACTGTTTGGTCTGAGGGATGAAGGTCTAACTGCTGAGCCAAACTGGCCAGGGCAGCTTTTTAAAAAATATATGTTTTTATTGATTTTAGAAAGAAAGATAGGGAAAGGGGGAGAGAGATTAAAAAAAAAAAACAATGAGAAAAAAACAATGATTGGCTGCTTCTTGCACACCCCCCTACTGGGGATCGAGCCCACAACCCAGGTATGTGCCCTGACTGGGAATCGAACCAGCAGCCTCTTGGTGCATGGGATGCCACTTAGTCCACTGAGCCACACCAGCTGGGCTAGCTTTGTTTTAAAAAAAGGAGGAGGGGGGAGAGGAACTAAAGGAAGTATAGCATATTTTCTTTCCTTTCTTACTTTTTAAATATGGAATGCTTTACAAATTTGCACATCATCTTTGTACAGGGGCCATGCTAATCTCTGTATTGTTCCAATTTCAGTGTATGTGCTGCCAAAGCGAGCACAGTATAGTAAATTCTTTAGGGATGGAAAGAGAGAAACAGAGCAGAGGGGTGGGCTGGGACTTTATATTAGCGGCAGATACCCCGTCTTCTCCAAAGTGTGGGAAGATTGCTCTTAGGGAAGATTGTGAGTGAAGGGATGCCTTTGTGCAAGAAAGAGAAGGTGAAATGTAAGACATCATTCAGTAGACTCTTGCCACTTCTACTCCTTTACCAACCACATCCTGACCCTGAAAATGGCAGGGCCTCCTTGGTATAACACAAAGCCTCAAATCCCTGAGGGGCTAGCTTTCTGAAGGAGATTTTCCAAGTTAGGAGATCCCCCAGTGTTCTCCTCTCAAGTTTCAACTTCCCTCAATATTTTTCTCAGATTGGTGATTCTTTTGTGTTTTGTTTCTTCTTAAAGAATTTTTTTTTATTATCCTTAGTGAGAAAGGAAGGGAGAGAGAGAAACATCAATGTGAGAGCAAAACACTGATCAGCTGCCTCCTGCATTCCCCCGACGAGGAATCAAACCAGCAACTTTTTGGTGTACAGGATGACACCCAGCTAACTAAACTACACTGGCCAGGGCTCAGATTAGTGACTCTTTTTTTTTTTTTAATTTTTATTATTATTTTTTTTAATCCTCACCTGAGGACATTTTTTTTTTTCCATTTATTATTCAGATAGAGTGGGGGGTGGGGGACATCGATGTGAAAGGGACACATCAAGTGGTTGCCACCCACACAACCCAGCCAGACCCGGGGACAAACTGCAACCGAGGCATGTGCCCTTAGCGGGAACCGAATCCCGGTCTCTCTGGACTACAGGCCGACACTCTAACTGCTGAGCCAAACCGGCCAGGGCCAGTGGTGATTTTTTTATGTTTCCTGTCGAATTGATTATCATAGTGGTTCTCAATGTGGGAAATGCAAATTCTCAGGAGTTTCCATCAAGATGCTGGAGTAGGTAAAATGCTGTGCTTGCCTCCTCCCATGACCACATCAAAATTGCAACTAAATTGTGGAATAATCAACCTATAGAACCAACAGAAGAAAAGCTGAACCTTAATCCTATAACTAAGGATGTAAAGAAGAAGCTATGCTTGGCTGGTGTGGCTCAGTGTCGTCCCACGCACCTAGAGGTCATCAGTTTGATTCCCGGTCAGGGCACATGCCCAGGTTGTGGGCCAAATTCCCAGTGGGTGGGATGCTGAGGGTGGCCATTCGATGTTTTTTCTCATTAATGTTTCTCTCTCCCTCTCCCTTCCTCTCTCTCTAAAATCAGTATAGAGAAACAAACAAACAAACAAGGAAGGGCAGAAACTACCTAGAGACTGTCCCCTTAAGAATGAGTGGTTACAGTCCCACACTGGTCACTCAACCCTGAGCACCAGTGCAAGGAAGAGGAGACCATATAACATCTGGCTGTGAAAATCCACAAGGATTCCAACCATGAGACAGAAGGCTGCTGGAAACCTGACTTTTTTTTTTTTTTTTTTAATTGATCTCAGAGAGCAAGTGAGGGAGAGAGAGAGAGAAACATTGATGTGAGAAATATTAATCAGTTGTCTCCCACATGCACCCTACCTGGGGATTGATCCCACAACCTGTGTATGTGCCCTTACCAGGAATTGAACCTACCACCTTCTGGTGTACAGGACAATGCTCCAACCAACTGAGCCAAACTGCTGAGGGCCCCAGGTTTCCTCTTAAAGTGCCGTGCACAGACTCTTGCTTGCAAGCACTCACCCTGTGCTCCAGTGAAGGGACAGTGGCTCATGGTATGAGACATACAGGGAGAAACTGAGTTGTGTGGCTTCAGGGTGAGGGCTGGAGGGAGAGCCTTTTTATCCCTGTGTTGAGTGCTTTTCCCACACAGCCAAATCTGAATTGGCATTAACTTGGTGAACTCTACTTACCACACCCTGATGACTCCCTGGACCCCACCTCACCCAATTCAGCAGAGGCTCTTCCAGCCATAGGCAGCTGGCCTTGGCCAGGGCTTCCATCTTTCTTAAAAAACTCTCGTGCTCACTTCAGCACCACATATACTAAAACTGGAACGATACAGAGAAGATTAGCATGGCCCCTCCGCCAGGATGACATGTAAATTTGAGAAGCATTCCATATTAAAAAAAAGAAAAGAAAATGTCTACAGGCCCTAGGTGTGTGGTGGCTGGCCTTGTTGCACCCTGTGTGTTTTGCTAAGTGGCTCCAGGCTCAGCACTGGCACTAAGTCTGAATCTGTATTAACCTGAACACCACTCGTACCACCCTGGTGACTCCCTAAGACCCTGCCTCGCCTAACTGGTGTACCACCTGAAGCTCATTCAGTGACTGAGTATTACCAGCAACCAGCAGGGAGAATTAGGCCTTGGGGTACCCATATTCTTTAGCTGACTGGTCCTAGGCTTGGTACTGGTGGTAGCTGGCCACAGTTCAGAGCGTGGACTCTCCCACATGACTCCAGATACACCATAGGTAGCTACCAACTGTGTATCACTTAGTAGCACTGGGCTGATTACAAGCAGAGGCTGAACTTGGCTTGAACAGGAACCCCTCTCAAGAGGCTCCAGAACCAATACACTTGATGACTGGCTTTAGATCACAATATAATACCACCTGATTAGATCTATAAGCAGCACACCCAAAGGGTGGTCTTGGCAGGCACCAAACCTGGCTGGGTAGAATCCACTCTAGGGTTAGCCTCTACACAGCAGCTTGTACACTGTGGTCATGGCTAGTACGGACAGCCATTCAGCCTGAGGGTCAACCCTACCCACTGATGTGTCAACAGCAATCAAGGCTCAATTATAACAGGAGGGCTCATACAACCCACATGAAGGACACTCCTGGAACACCCACCTCAAGTGATCAGGGAGACTGAGCCACTGGGTGCTAAGGACCCCTACTACATAAGGTCAGTCTGCCAAGAATGGGATATGTAGCAGATCTGTATAATACAGAGAAATAAACAGAGAGAGAGAGACAAAATGAGGTGACAAAGAATCATATTCTAAATGGAAGAACAGGAGAAAAGTGAGAAACAACTAAACAAAATGGAGGCAAACAATCTTCCATATACAGAGTTCAAAACACTGGTTATAAGGATGATCAATGAATTTAGTGAGAACATCAACAGCATAAAAAATGACATAGAATTCTGGCCAGTTTGGCTCAGCAGTTAGGGTGTTGGATCACGGACCAGTGAGTCAATCACAGGTTCAATTCCGGTCAAGGGCACATACCTTGGTTGCGATTCATCCTGGTCCTGGTTGGAGTTGTGCATGAGGCAATCAGTCCATGTGTCTCTCTGATATTGATATTTCTCTCTCCCTTCCTCCCACTCTATCTGAACAAAAATGGAAAAATATCACCCTGGATGGTTTGGCTCAGCGGTTAGAGCGTCGGCCTGCGATCCAGAGAGACCGAGTTCGGTTCCCACTAGGGGCGCATACCTTGGTTGCAGTTTGGCCCTGGCCCTGGCCCTGGTTGGTCGTGCAGGTGGCAACCACTCAATGTGTCCCTTTCATGTCAATGTTTCTCTCTCTCTCTTCCTCCCACATTTTCTGAACAAAAAATGGAAAAATGTCCTTGTGTGAGGATAAAAAAATTTAAAAAATGGAAAAATATCTTTAGATAAGGCTTAAAAAAAAAACCCAACATATATCTTAAAAAAGAACCAGTTTGTCCTGGCCGGTTTGGCTCAGCGGTTAGAGCGTCGGCCTGCGGTCCTGAGAGACCCGGGTTCGGTTCCCGCTAAGGGCGCGTACCTCGGTTGCAGTTTGTCCCTGGCCCTGGTCGGTTGTGCGGGTGGCAGCCACTCAATGTGTTCCTTTCACATCGATGTTTCTCTCTCTCTCTCTGTTCCTCTCTCTCCCTCCCACTCTACCTGAACAAAAAAATGGAAAAATGTCCTCGAGTGAGGATAAAAAAAAAAAGAACCAGTTAGAAATGAGGAATACACCCTAGCCGGTTTGGCTCAGTGGTTAGAGTGTTGGCCCGTGGACCAGAGTCTCGGGTTTGGTTCCTGCTAAAGGCACGTATCTCAGTTGCAGTTTGTCCTTGGCCCTGGTTGGGGTCATGTGGGTGGCAACCACTCAATGTGTCTCTCAAGTGGATGTTCCTCTCTCTTCCCCCTCTTCTCTCTCCCACTCTATCTGAAGATAAATGCAAAAAATGTCCTCGGTGAGGATAAAAAATTAAAAGAAATGAGGAATACAATAACTGAAATGAAGAATACACTAGAAGGAATCAACAGCAGATTAGATGAAGTAGAGGATCTTATCAGTGATTGGAAGATGAGATAATAGAAAACACCCAATCAGAAAAGCAAAAAGAAAATAGAATTTAGAAAATGAGGCTTGACATGACTGGTGTAGCTCAGTGGTTGAGCATCAACCCATACACCAAGAGGTTGTTGGTTCAATTCCTGATCAGGGCATATGCCAAGGTTGTGGGCCACATCCCCAGTGGGGGGGCATGCAGAAAGGGGCCAGTTGATGTTCTCTCTCATCAATGTTTCTATCTCTCCCTCTCTCTCTCTAAAGAAATCAATGAAGGAAAAAATTTTTAAATAAAATTTAAAAAATAAATAAATAATGAGGATTATTTGCCCAGCCGATTTGGTTCAGTGAATTGAGTATCAGTCATTCCATGGAAAGAGGTCCTGATTCGATTGCCGGTCAGGGCACATGCCTGGGTTGCGGGCTCATTCCCTAGTGGGGAGCATACAGGAGTTAGCCAATTGATGTTTCTCTCTCACATCAATGTTTCTATCTCTCTTCCTTCCTTTCTATCTAAAAAAATGAATGAAAAAGAAGGACAAAGAAAAGAACAAATGAATAATGAAATGGGAATAAGTATGTACTTATCGATAATCATGTTAATGTAAATGGATTAAATGCTCCAATAAAAACACGTAGCTCAGCTAAATAGATAATAAAATAAGATCCATGCATATGCTATATACAAGAGACCCATTTCAGATTGAAAGACTCCATATAAAGACTGACAGTA